TATAAGTTTTCTAAGTGAAAAAATATATTTATATGCAGGAAAGACTTGATGATGAAGATCAACCTTATGATGATGAAGAGACTGAATGATGTTACTTACATGGATGGATGACTAACTATGCATAATATTCCTAGATGACACTTTATTTTTAAATTTAGAAATTTTATGAGATTTAGATTGCTTAGACTTTCAGTTTTGTGTCCTCAAACCTTTCTTATATATATGAATTTTTTTTACTTTTATATGCCTTGGTGTGGAATATTTTCTGGAACTAGTAATCTAGCTTGCTTCGGTGCCTGCTGTCAATATGTTTATCATTTGGTATTCTGCGAATGTCATGTCTTGTGATGAGTGGTTAACTCAGCATGTGATTGATTAAACCAATAAGTTATCAAAATAGTGCAATGAATCATTAATTCAAGTACTGTGCTTGATTGAATATGGTTTATATGCAGTAACCATTAAAATTTCATTAATTTTATACGGGGATGGTATCAAGATTATGTACATGGAAATTCCCATTATATTTTTTCCCTCCGTTTGAGTCGAAACCCAATTCATTATCCAATTTCATACTGCATTTCTGTCATTTGCTTGTTTATATTATTAGTGGTGTTATAACAATCCCGCCATTTGCTGTCAAGACTATGCTAGTATCGTCAAATTTCATACAAAATTGTTTGTTGTTTAGTCCGCCAATATCATGTTTTGTGGACTAGGAAGGCCTATCCACACAACTAACAACTTTATTGGAGCTTTCCTTCCACTGTCCTAAAGGACTTATTTAGTTTAATCTTGGTAGGCCTAGAATTGTACATCAATCGATAACAAGTCTTTTGAATAGTTAGTGATATATGTAACAATATGGGTCATGGTCCTTGTATTACAAGGCCATCCTTGTATGAAATCTGTATGCAATGTGCTGAATTGATAGAGGGCTTAAATAGAAGAAAATGAGGAAAGAGCAGAATGCAGTATACGTGGGATTAAATATTAGCTTATAATTCTTTTTTTTATAATTTGACTATTATACACATATTAGCTTATAATTCTTTTTTTTATAATTTGACTATTATACACATATTAGCTTATAATTCTTTTTTTTATAATTTGACTATTATACACTTTAGTTGTATAAGAATAGTTGTGACTAAGTGGACTTTATATATATATATATATATATATATATGTGTGTGCGTAACA